GACAAAAGAACAAATCTTTAGAGAAAATCACAAAGACCCTAAAACTAAAAACTACATTCACATTGAAGACGTACTTTTCCAGTTCCGGGAGGGCCAGCCAAAAGAATTGCTCTTCCAGACATCTTTTTCGCCCTTACCAAATCGACTACAATACCTGCAGCTTCCCGAGCATCTTTCTGACCAATAAACCCAGCCGCCTGAAACAGTTTTCAACTTGCTATGTAATATGACTATCAGTTTGAAAATAGTTTGATAGACATTGAAAAACCAGTTCAAGTTTTTTTACAACAAGTTCCATCCAAAATTTATTTGAAGTCCAAATTTATCAGGAGCGCAGACAAACAGTACTTACGCTGTCCTTTGGCAAAAATGTTTCAGGATCTAAACCCAATCCCTTAACGTGACTGTGAGCAGCAACTCTCTGCTTACGTGCCGTGGACTTGATCTAAAGTCAAAATAAGGAGTCAATGGAGCGATTTTTTATAAAACCAATTTGGCTTCATTTAGTTTTTCATTATTTCAAGATTCGAATAATACACCATTAGAACGTATAAGAAAAATTACGTATCTACACCAAAATATACCTCATCTATTTTGATCATTTTTGCAGAGCTTTTTCCAATTTTTTGATCTTCATCCATCACTACAAGTTTTCTTTAAACTGCTAGAGACAAAGAACCGTGCTTCTCCGAATAGCTGAAACCAGCCAAACAAAAACTTAAGCTTTCTCTCTCACCAATTATAAAAACCCCAAACCTACCAGCCTGTCGCACAATATTCTTCCTCACCTGTGAAGCACAAAGAAATTTGAACAAACAGAAAAACACATCGAGATGAAAAACCAATGTTAACAGCTATCTAACGAACAGCAACAGCAGTATATATTTTATTCACCGACAACTGACAGATCATTTTACTGACGAGCCTAACGATTAAATTCATATCCGTTAAACTACTTTCTGGTGTGGTGTTTGCTTGGCGACTAAACTGGTGATTCTCATGTCACTGTTTGTACGTATTTCTGTCGTTGGCCCTTTTACTTTCCCTCTTACATTTGTCATGATCACTTGTTCTTTTTACGCCTTCTTTATACTATGAGGTTTATCTTCTTAATTTACATTAGCCAATTTCTGCTTCCTTTTTTTTCGGTAATTTATGGAGCATCTCAAGCATACTAAAACGGTGGCGTCGTGATAAGTTTCTGTTCAACATAACTGAGGCAGTGTATCCAGAACTTCATCTATACAGACGTTTGATCTTCTTTCGTAGTACCACCTCCAGTCACTCTGTTTCTCACTCTTCGTAGAGGGTAATTAATTTTTCTTTTGCGTCCATATACTTCGGAGGGAAAAAAAATTCTGAAGAAGCAAAGTTACGTTTTTCCAAATCTGTGCGTAGAAGTCCTAAAAACAGTTTTAGGTTTGCAGCCTCAAGAGTATTTGTCGTGAGTTCCGACAAGTGTGTCAAATCCTTGGTGAAATTGGTGGGAATTCCGTAGTCGATGTACCAAAAGGCAGTTATTGAAGATTTTTTTGAATCGCTTTAAGGTTGATCTGATTTTCTGCGCAGTACTGTGGTTTTTTGTTCGAAGGATAATTCTGATATTCCGGTATCGTTCGTAGCAGTAACTTCGTTTGAAAGTTTAGCATTATTTGAATTTTCCTTTGAAGAGTCACGGGAGGTTCCACATTTTAAAGTCTATAAGTTGACTCGAGGTTTTCAACGTATCAGGAGCTGAAGGTCTGGTAACATTCGACTGATTCACCAGAATCACTGGTGAACTCAAAAAATTGTCAAACGCGGCTGACATAATAAGCTGTCTTTTTTGGTCGGTTTGGGAGAAGAAGAAGAAGAAGAAGAAGA